AACAACAACAACACAACAAACACCAGCTTTGTTACAGCTTTTCACTCATGGTGCTTATGGTCATTATCATTTATGCTCTGATTTCATTCAGAGGAAGTGAGTTAATGCTCTTCAGTAATTTTACGTTGTAAAGTGCTCTGTAATTGTATCTATATTATTAGGGGAAGAGGCGTTATATGGGGTAGAACAAATTTTGAGAGCAAATTAGCAAAAATTTGTTTTTTATGTGTTATTCTGTATTTAGAAAACACCACAAGGATGGCGAGAAATATTAATTGATATTGATCCTGAAGTTTCTGATAAACTGAGATTTGTTTTGGCACCTTGTGCCACTCCAGCAGAAGCATTCATACAAGTAAGAATACTTTTTTTTTTTTCCTGTCTCATTGTCTTTTATCACCAATAGAGTAAGTCTTGTTTACTGAACTTGTATTTTAGAGTTCATTTACAGAAGAGGAGTTGCTGTGAATATGTGATGTGCCCCTGGGTAATGGTGGACAGTACAGAAGATCTGGAGCCAGAAAACTAGATTAAAATGTTTTTATGTCACACATTTTGTATGTGTGTGTGTGACATTAAACAATAATCATGTGATAAGAGATAAAGTTAGCAAGTGCTTATTCAGCAAGTCCCTTACTATCTCTGTTTACCTAAGTGTCCTCACTTTTAAAGTGGCGGCAGTATCATCTGCTTTGCACAAGAGTTTGATGCCTGTGAAAGCAAGGTAGTACAGGCAGATAGTGCAATAAAAGACTAATAATACTGAACATCATGGCGCTGTAGCATAATAAACACTGGACTGCTAACTGGAAGGTTGACTGTTCACACCACACCCACCAAATGCTTCTCGGAAACCCCTATGAGTCACTAGGAGTCAGAATTAACTCAATGGCACTTAATATGTGTTTTCTGTCCTGTATTCTGTATCATTATACTATGAATGACTCCATATTTTCCCACTTATTTCCCCAAACAGCCTTGTTACTCTTAGGTAACAATGAGTTTTCCCCCATCGTTCCCCCCCCCCCCCCCCAGTTCTATTTGGATGAATGGTAGATTTGCCACCATTTTCTGTGGATCTCAAGGAGTAATCACAAGCTTATTGCTTGTGGGATTGTGTTTAGAGGTTCAAGAATAACAATGAAAAAAATCTATGCTTGTCAGGAAAGCCTGGATTCTAGATTGCTTCTTTCTGCTCCTTTTTCCAGCTCAGAGAAAAGATTTCCATTTTTGGGTCCTTAATTTAAAGTTCCCTATTTCAGAAATTGTCTATCTTAAAAACATTAACAGCTTTAAAACGAAATCTGTGAATAAAGTTGATTATTATTATTTTGATGTGATGTGATATATATATCAGCTTAACCTCTTGAGAACATTTCTATATGCTTCGTAGTCTGCCTCTTGAATTTCACCTGAGAAAGAAACAAATTCATTAAACAACAAAGAGCTAGTCCCTTCATACTGGGAGTTGTATTTTAGTTTTTCACTTGTGTAGCAATCACTTCGAGGGAGTTTGTTTGAACGAGGCAAGTGGCAATAGAGGAATCTGAGAGGGTAAGGATGTCAGCTGATCTCTCATTACCCAATAAGCAAGGTAAGCACATGCTTACTTGTGCTCACTAATCTGTAGTGAACAGTTACTTGTCAGGGCTTGTTCATTTGAAAAGACTATGATTCTGTAGAAAGGTATTGTAGGGTTGGGAGCAGATACTGGCCCTATCTAGAAGGAAAATCTTTGCTGTGTTGAGAAGTGTGAAATTGTTCACTGTAGATTAATGGTGGTGGTGTGCCGGAGTCAGTTTCAACTCTACCTGTATAGGATTCCTGAGGCTGCAAATCTTTATACTTAGTTTAAGTAGGATCTATTTTGTTATACTGGACTTCTGTCATTCTCTCTGTGCCTACTATGTTCCAGCCACTGTTCTAGGCAGCAGAAATTCCCTTTCCCATGCTTATAATCTAGTGGAATATTCAAGTATCCCCTACTTTCTATAAATTAGCTTTACGAAAGATCTACATTAGTACTGGTTTTTACTGCCAGAAATAAATCCAAAGAGGATTTTCACTTCTAGAAAAAGTGAAATGAGTGTTTCAGTATTTGTTTTGCAGCAGTGTTTCGTTCTGCTGGGTATAAGGTTGCTATGAGTCAGTACCGACTCGATGGCACCTCACAACAACAACATTGAAAGAGACAGCATACTCTGAGCATCAAGAGTAGCATTGCCAAATGCCTTCCCTGGAACTACACTCAGCATCAAGGCTCGATAACTTGGAACTGTGTCTGTGAACACTATACAAGAGGGCTTCAGAAAGTTTGTGGAAAAATAGAATGAAAATGGAATTTTTCCATGAACCTTTGGAAGCCCCTTGTATGGCTTATTTTAGGTTTTATGTGTTATTTGGTATGATTTGGCAGGTTGTATTTCGAGTCTGGGATTGCTCAAACATTTTCCCGTATAAATGAATGGTAATAGTTTTTTTTTTTTTTTTTTTTTGCTTTATGCCATTTTGGTTTATAGGAGATTTTAGAGGAACACCTTACTTTAATATAGTAGGGGAAACTTGTATCATACTTATGAGAGGGCTTCAAAAAGTTTGTGGAAAAATTCCATTATCCTTTAATTCCATTTTCCATGAACTTTTTGAAGCCCCCTTTGTATACATGAATTATGACATTAAAGTAATATCTCTGTAAATAAGATAATGTACTTTACCTCCTGGGGATATAAAAGGGATTAAAATAAAATGTCTTTGTAAACCAAGTGGATGGCATTAAAGAATGGAGTTCTATGCAATAAAAAATGATGCCAGATGAATTTAGCATAGCGAACATACATACATTTACAAGGAATTTATTTTTATTGAAATTAAGATATGCTCATTATAGAAAAGGAGTCCTGGTATGGCACTGCAGAATAACATACTGCACCATAAGGTTGGTTTGAACTGCAAAGTGGGAGGTTCAAACCCACCAGCTGCTCCTTGGAACCCTATACAGGATTGCTGTGAGTTGTCACTGACTCAGTGGCACTTCACAACAACCACATTATAGAAAAACCAAAGAAAATGTAGAGGGGAAAAAGGAACCTCCTTTGGTGATACATTTTCTTTCTTTTCTTGTCCCCTTACTAGAGTGATGAAACACGGTCTCATGTGGAAGTGTGTCCTGACGCTGGTGTTATCATTCAGGAGCTTTCTCAACGCATTGCACTTACTGGAGGCGCCGCACTGATTGCCGATTATGGTCATGATGGAACCAAGACTGATACCTTCCGAGTATGGATAGTTCAGTAATGTGGTAGTGCATTAGAATTTAAGCGATGTGCTTTGCTTCTACTTAAAGAAGCTTTGGTATCTCTGCTAACCATAAGGTTGGCAGTTCATACCCATCAGCCATTTCATGGGAAAAAGAATGAGAGTGTCTGCTCCTGTATAGATTAAGTCTCAAAAATCCTATGTAGTGTTTGCTGCAAGTCAGAATCAACTTTATGGCAATAGGTTTGGTTTTGGGTTATCACTTGTTAGATGTTAACCTCATTTAAGATCTTTATCTCTGATTTCTGTAATCTTTAGCACTGTTATATTATTTGATAATAGATATGAATCTGTATTACTAGTTATACTTAGAGCCCTGGTGTTGTAACAGTTAAGTGCCCAGAGACTAAAAAGGTTGGTGGTTTGAACCCACCTAGTGACTCTGTGGGAGAATGGCTTGGCACTCTGCTCCCCTAAAGATGGCAGCCTAGACAATCCCATGGAGCATTTCTGTTCTGTGAGTTGAAAAACTGACTTGAAAGCACATACCACACTAGGGAGCCTGTGGCTCTGTATGATAAGCACTGGACTGTGAACTCTATGCCAGTGGTTTAAGCCACCAGCCCACTACATGTGAGAAAGCTGAGGCTTTCTGTTCCTGCAAAGATGTACGGTCTTGAAACACCTATACAGGGTCCCTAGGAGCCCCAGGAGGTCAAAACTCAGTGGCATTTAATAACAACTTTTACCCTTAGCCCTAGATCTTACTTCTTAGCCTTAAATCCACTGTCAAACAGTCTGAATCTTTGCATTGTTGCTGTTAAGTACCGTTGAGTTGGTTCCAAGTCAGCGCCTTTCAGATAGCAGCAGTCCAGTGCTTATCCCACAGTACCACAGCAGAAGCTTGAATTTTTGCTAGTGAACATCTGAATACAGGTTTTCCCCATTATCTGAATAGGGCATTCGTATGAAGCCTTTCGTAAACAAATATGGCATAAAGTAAAGAAGCAATTTCCATTATTTTAATGGGAAAAAAATTTGCGCATTCCCAGATTCAAAAAATAACTTAAGAAATCATAATACGATAACATATGAAACCTAAAATAACACTTAACATAGAGTGTTCACACATGAAGCAATTCAAAGAAATGGTGCTAAAAACACTGGTTTAAGCCTTTCTTATTTTAATTGTTGAATATTAATGTATAACATACTGCAGTAGCATTTCTTTAGTCTTGATGGAAACCATTAAGGGGCAAAAGCTCATCATTTCTTTAATTATATTCAAGGGCTTTTGTGGGCACAAGCTCCACGATGTCTTAATTGCTCCTGGAACCGCAGACCTAACAGCTGATGTGGACTTCAGTTACTTGCGCAGAATGGCCCAGGAAAAAGTGGCCTCCCTGGGTCCAATAAAACAACACATGTTTTTAAAAAACATGGGTATTGATGTCCGGCTGAAGGTAATGGCTTATTTCACTATTTTAATTTTATAGGGCTTTAATTATTTTAAATATTAAGTTCATGTGGTCCTAGTGTTCTTGCAGTTAGCCAGATGCTTGGCATGCCATGCTCTTCTGTAGTGTGGAGCCAGTGTAACCAGGCAGCCTTGGGCTTCCTGTGTCTGTGTGTGTGTGAGGTAAATGAAGGCTCCAAAGAGTTTTCATTCTTAAGAAAATTTGGCCATATTTATTTTATGTGTGTGGATTTGTAACTGTCCTTTTGAGGACACTTATCTCTCCAGTATAGGCAAAACTACCTGAGGACATTTGTTTAAAATGCAAGTTCATAACAGCCTACGTATGATTAACAAACACCCAGGTGATTCAGAGGCAGTTGATCAGAAGTCACACTTTGTTCACTGCTTTATGGAATACATAAGAGTTACTAGTGTTTCTGAATATAACTAGGAATCCTTTCTTCTGGTCATTTTTGCTAAGGATTTTATTTTATTTTTTTAGGTTCTTTTAGATAATTCAGATAAGCCATCTGTAAGGCAGCAGTTACTTCAGGGGTATGATATGTTAATGAACCCTAAGAAGATGGGAGAAAGATTTCATTTTTTTGCCATGGTACCTCATAAGAGACTTTCTGATAAAAGTCATCTGAAGAATGCACGTCAGTCAAAACCATCCCCAGCACCTATAGCTGGGTTTGATGAACTTGTTTGGAAGTGACATTTCACCTTGGACATTTTACTCCTCATTCTGCCTAGTAAATCAAAGTAAAGGGATTGCATTCCATACATTGCAGGTAAAATAAGCCTTAAATATTTTGCCTTTTCACAGCCAATAAAGATGGTGTATATTGTATGTTTTGTTGTTAGGTGTCAAGTTGGTTCCAACCCAGTGGTCCCACATACTATAAAATAAACACTGTGTCCTGCACCATCCCCACAATCATTACTCTGTTGGAGGTAATTGTTGCAGATTGAGGTTCATCCTCTTTTTTGCTAGCATTCTAATTTACCAAGCATGATGCCTTCTCCAGGGATTGATCCCTCCTGACAACATGTCCGAAGTATGTGAGACAGAGTCTTGCTTCTCACTTATAAGAAGCATTCTGGCTGTATATTTCAACACAGATTTGTTTGTTCTTCAGGCAGTCCAATGTCTGTTCACTATTCTTCACCATAATTCAAAGACATCACATCTTCTTTTGTCTTCCTTAGTGTCCAGCTTTTATATGCAATACGTGACAAGATTCAGGCATACCTTAGTTCTCAAAGTGACATCTTTGTATTTTAACATTTTAAGTTTTTTTTTTTTTTTTTTGTAATAGCTTTACCCAATTTGATTTCTTGACTGGTGCTTCCATGGGTATCAGTTGATTGTGGATCCAAGTCAAACAAAATCTTTGTGATATTTTTTCTATTTACCATGATATTGCTTATTGGTCCAGTTGTGTGGATTTTCGTCTTTTGTATGTTGAAGTATAATCCATACTGAAGGCAGTGGTCTTTGATCTTCATTATTTCAAGTCTTCCTCATTTGCTTTCAACAAGGTTGTATCACCCACACGTTACAGGTCGTTACTGAATCTTCCTCCAATCTTGATTCCACTTTCTTCATAAAGTTCAGCTTCATGGATTACTTGCTCAGCATACAGATCGAGTGTTGTTATTAAGTGCTGTTGGGCTGGTTTCAAATCATGGCAACCCTGTATAGGGTTTCCAAGGACTAGATGGGGAGTTTGACTTGCCGACCATTTGATTAGCACTCCAGTGTGTATCCCACAGCAGGATTGAGTAAGTTTGGGGAAAGGATACAGTCCTGCTGTACACCTTTCTTAATTTTTTACCAGCTCATTAATCCCATTGTTTTATTATTTAAACAACTACCTGTTGGTCTGTTCTCTGGTTCTGGATGAATATAATAAAATGTTCAGGAATTCACACATTTCGTAATGTTATCCAAAATTTGTTATGATCCACACAGTTGAATGCCTTTGCATAGTCGATAAATCAACAAACATATTTTGGAATTACCTGCTTTCATTCAAGATCCATCTTTGTCAGCAATGATATGCCTCATTCTACATTCTCTTCTGAATCTATCTTGAATTTCTGATAGTTCCTGTTGATGTTGCTGCAATCATTTCTTAAAAGGCTTTTATTATGAATTAACTGATAGTTTACATTGTAGAAAATCAGTTTTGCATTCAACCAATCTTATTTTGTTTCATTGTAATGATTACAATCTCCTCCATGCACCATCATTTAACAGCATTTGCCTCTATTCCTTTTTTTTTTTTTTTAATGTACACAACACACAGGACTATGTAATTGTTTAAATAATCATAGGGCACATTTTGCAAACCACCTTTCAGTACACAGCCTTTCTCTTTTCTGTGAGTCTAGAGTCCTCAGCTGCTCTATCTCAATGCCTTCATCTCTGATGTCACTGCTTCTGTACTTTGGATCCCATGTTCTGTTCTTGCTCTTCCCTCTTGATGCTCTTGATGGTCCTAGGGTCCTGTTCCTGGAATGCAAGATTAATTACCCTGCCCCCTTTTTGTTACACAACTTCTACCTTTACAGATGTGGCAGTTGCAATTAGTCATAACAATTAGTACTGAATAATAATAAAAAAATCCTATCCCCATCTCCTTTCACCATTCCCATCGAGACAAGATGAAAACTGTTCACTGGAGATGCTACTTTCCCTACTTGCTCTGAAACTAAACTCCCTCTTGAAGACTTGTAAGGCAGCCACTTTGTGCCTTTATAGTGCCCCTAATTTTAGGTAGCCAATGTCTAAGCACGGAGTCCTGGTGTGGTGCTGTAGGTTAATGCACTGGACTGCAAGGTTGGTTTGAACAGCAAGGTTGGGGGTTCAAGCTTCCCAGCTGCTCCTTGGAAACCCTATACAGAGTCACTATGAGTTGACTCTAAGGAACTTAACAACAATATGTAAGTACTACAACCATTTTTTTAATTCAGTAAAATTTTGTGTGTGATATTGATGATACTGTTTGATAATTTCTACATTCATTGGATCCCTTTTCTTTGGACAAATATGGATCTCTTCCAACCAGTTGGCCAGGTAGTTGTCTTCCAAATTACTTGACATAGATATGTAAGCACTTCCAGCATGACATCCACTGGCCAGTGCCTCAGTGTGGCTTACACTTCTTCCTTTAATACCATCAACGTTTGAACATATGCTGCCTCCTGAAACGGATGAACATTGATCATTGCTTTTTATACTGTGATTCTCTGCATTCCTCCTCTCTTTTTTCAAATGCTTCCTGTGACTTGCACTATTTTGCCGATAGAATCCTTTAATATTGCAACTCTAGGCTTGAATTTTTCTTTCAGCTTGAGAAATTCTGAATGTATTCATCTTTCGGTTTTCTAATTGCAGGTCTTTGCACATTTAACTACAATGCTTTTTGTCTTCTCCAGCTGCCCCTTGAAAATTTCTGTTCAGTTCTTGTAATTTCTTCCATTTACTTTAGCATTTCTATGTTCAGAAGCAAGTTTGAGTCTCTTCTGACATCCACTTTGCTTTTTTCCTTTTTCATGACCTTTTGCTGTCTTCATATATGATGTTCTTGATGTCATACCACAACTTGCCTGGCCTTCGATCATTAGTATTCAATGCATCAAATCTGGAGTCCTGGTGTGGTGCTCTACGTTAAGCACTAGATTGCTGACCACAAGGTCAATGGTTCAAATCCACCACCCACTCATTGGAAATCCTATTCAGGGTTACTAAGTCAGAACCAGCTCAACGGCAATTAACAAAATACTCAAGGCGATACTTTGGCTGTCATGGACTTGATTTTTCTTCAACTTGACTTGCATATAAGCAATTTGCTGGTCTGTTCCAGAGTTGGCCCCTGGCTGTGTTCTGATTGACGATACTAAGCTTATCTACTGTTTTGTCCACAGGTGGAGTGGATTTGATTACTGTGTATGTTCCATCTGGTGAGGTTCACGTCTATGGCTGCCATTTATACTGTTGAATAAAGGTATTTGTAATGAATAAGTCTTTGGTCTTGCAAAATGTTTTACTTCTGGTGTTGTTTCTATCCCAAGGCACTATTATCCTACCAATCCTTGTTTCCAACTTCTGCATTCTAATCACAGTAATTATCAATGCATCTCGATTGCATGTTTACTCAATTTTAGACTGCAGAAGTTGGTGAAGAATCTTCAGTTTCTTCATGTTTGGCCATAGTGTGTAGTGTATAAATTTTTGCATAGTTATTTAACTTGTCTCACTTAAGACTGGCTGGCTGGCTATGTGCTACTGAGTCTGTTCTGACTCACAGTGACCCTTTATAGGGTTTCTGAGGCTATAAATCTTTACAGGAGCAGAAGGCCTCATCTTTCTCCCGATGTCTCCCTTTAATATGTTGTTAAGTGCTGTCGAGTTAGTTCTGACCCATAGCGACCCTGTACAGGGTTTCCAAGGGTGTAAATCTTTACAGGAGCAGAATGCCTCATCTTTCTCCCATGGAACAGCTGGTAGTTTCAAACTGCTGACCTTAAGGTTTGTATACCAATTTGTAACCACTACGCTACCAGAGCTCCTTCCCTTTAATGTAGGCATATGGATATCATCCTATCACTGACAACACTGAACTTAAGTATTATTCTTGAAATGTGACATTTGCTTTCTGTTTGTCATTTCTGGCAAAGTGTTCAATACCAGTCCATTTCAACTCTCTAATGCCTAACATGTATCGTTTCAAATGTTCCATTTCATTTTTGACAACTTCCAGTTTTCCTAGATTCATACTTCATGCGTAATCCTAGCATGGCACTGTAAGACAAGTTTTTGATATATGCTGATATATATAGCGACCCTGTGCAGGGCTTCCGAGGCTGTAAATCTTTACGGGAGCAGAAAAGCCTCATCTTTCTCCACGCAGCAGCTGGTAATCTCGAACTGCTGACCTTGTGGTTTGCAGCCCAATTCGTAACCACTATGCTACCAGAGCTCCTGCTAATTACAAGGTTGACAGTTCAAACCCACCAGCCGCTCCTTGCAAACCTTCTACAGAGTTGCTGAGTTAGAACTGATTCGACAGCACTAAACAGTACTTTGTGCAGTTTTTGCTCTGATTATTAATGGATATTTACAGATGTTTCTTAGAAATTCTGAGTGGTGCCACTTCAGCAAATGAAGGTTTCCAAAGCTTTACTTCGTCCACATCATTAAGGTTGACTCTACTTTCAAGACAGCTGTTCCCAAGTCATGTTTGGAGTGTTTCAATATTTCCTACTGGAGGATCTCATTTTCCAGCACTATACCTGACAGTTTTATGTGATTTTTAAAGTTTTCACTGGCCAAGTTTTTCAGAAGCTGACCACCAGGTACCCCTTCTTAGTATGAGTCTCCACTGTAACGTGTCCACTCTGAGTGGCCCTGCTGGTATTTGAAATACCACTGGCACAGCCTCCAACAGCACAGCAACATACAAGCCACCACAGAATGACAACTAACAGTTGAGTTGTGGATGTTACATACATGGAATGACTATTTTTTAAATGTTATATAACTTAAAATTACAGAAATTTAAAGATTGTGTCTGCCTTTTGGTATAAATCTATGTTCTGAGGTTAATGAACAAGTGTTATTGTGAAACTAATTTCCTTTAATTACTAAAGCCAGCAGCTGTATTTCCATTTTACAAACAGACCCATGATCACTGACTGATTTAATAAAAACTAGAACAAACCTGAAACGGACATTCACGGGGGACTGATGAACAGTTGTGAGGATGGCAGAGGACCGAGCAGTGTTTCATTTTGTTGTTTGTAGTGTTGCGATGAGTTGGAGCCCATTTGACAGCACCTAACAACATCCATTCCTGTATTACTTTAACGAATGAGGTAGATCTTATCTGTATGTTGTAACAGAAAGAACTCTTAAGATTTACCAAGTGAAAAAGTAGGGTACAATTTCGATGGTTCATGATTCATTTTTGTTGGGAGAAGAGCTACATTTAAAGAAACAATATAAAATGACAAAGTATGAGCAATTCATGCACTAATTTACCAAGTCAACGAGGGTCATTTTCTGTTCTGTAGCACATACATGCATTAAAAGAAACCAAGTGGAGGCTATCCAGGAGCTTTAATCATGATTCAGTTGCCTAATCTGGAAGCGGGTATAAAGGGTGAGGAGAGAAATTTTTTTTTCTTATTAATTCTCCCCAAATTTGTGGTATTTGAATTTTTTCTCATGAATCTGAACATTTTATAATTAAATACAGTTAGTATACTTGACAGCAGTGAATGTAGGCTATCAAGGAATAATTCTTTAAATTGAGCGGATTCTCCCTTATTTTCAGATAGATGTCAAAACTTAGTTTTATATATTCTCATTTTTTGGCCCATAGAAACTTTATTATTTTTTAACGTATTTCATCAATTTTAATGTGTTATTTCTTTTCACATTTTAATTCTGAAACTAGGATGCAGCTTTTAATTGCTGACAGAAACAATTATAAATTGAGTATGGTTATATTTCTTTCTTAGAGGTAAATTTAAAAACAGTGCACCTTAGAATGGATGTCTCCCTCTTAAAGTCAATAAACTGTAGAAAAGCTGGGTACAGGATTGTTGTTGTTAGATGTGTTGAGTTGGTTTCAACTCATAGAGACCCTGTGCACAGAGAGTACCATCCTCACAAATGTTACACTTGAACCGGCACTACTGCTGCCACTGTGCCAATCCATCTCGTAGGGGGTTTTATTCTTTTTCACTGACCCTCCACTTTACCAAGCATGATGTCCTTGTCCTGAGACTGGTTGGTCTCTCCTGATATTATGTCCGAATTATGTGAGACAGGGTCTCTCCATTCTGGCTTTTAAGAAACATTCTGATTGTACTTTGTCCATCACAAATTTGTTTGTTTTCCTAGAAGTCCATGGTACTTCTCATTTTCTTCTCAAACACCATAACAAATGCATCAAGTCTTCTATGGTCTTCCTTATTCACTGTTCAACTTTCACATGCTTATGAGGTTACTGAAGATACCGTGGTTTAGGTCAGGTGCACCTTAGTCCTCAAACTGGTATTTTTGCTCTTCATCACTGAAAAGAAGTCTTCTGCAGCAGATGTGCCTAATGTAATACGTCTTCTGATTTCTTGACAAAAATTTTACTTGCAAGTGATATTATATTGCTTGTTTCCACATTCTGTTGGGTCACCTTTCTTTGGAATTGGCACAAATATAGATGTCTTTCAAATGGCTGGGCCCACAGAATGTTTATACTAACATTGGAAACATGAACTGTTAGAGGGGGCTTCAAAAAATTCATGACCAAATAAAATTACATGATAATGAAATTTTTCCAGGATATTTTTGAAGTCTCCTTGAAACAGCATAAATTTATATGGGAGATTCAAAAGAGTACTTGTCATTTATTCCTGGTGTGGCACTGTAGGGTCAGCACTGGACTGTGAAGCCCAAGGACAACAGTTGAAACCTACCAGCTGCTCCTTGGAAACCCTATACAGGGTTGCTGTGAGTCTGAACCAACTTGATGGCACTTAACAACAAAACATGTCTGATAGAATAAAAAGACTTAACTGTAATGGAATTTCATTAGAGTGATGAACTCTGTTTACTAAGAACAGGCCAGCCTACTGTATCTTTGCTGAAACTAAAGGAAGACGAAAGCCTGGTTTTTCAGATACCGCCTGGCCCGGCACCATTCCTCACCACTCGTAGTCTACATTCAGATTTTCTTTTTTTCCCAAAGATTTGATAGGAAGAATTTTTGAAAAATTAAAAATAGCCATAGTTGTATCACCACCCCCAATAATATGTAATAGTTTTGATAATGAATGATTAAGAATTAGATAATTCTTATCCTAAAGTCTATCAAATTCATTTTGATATTAGGTATTTAACTTTTTTCAGTCTTCTGGTAGTTGTATAGTTAAATATTTAGTGGAATTTCTTGAAATTTTTATAGTTATAATTATTATAAACTGTCAATCCAAGAAATGAGACCTCAGATAAATTACCTTAAATTTAGTATAAAATCATAATACTGAGTTGTTGTTTATTTTAGACAGATTTTAAAAAAAGCCTTTTTAAAAATAGCATTAGTTGCATTTACAAATAGGATTTCCAAAATAGTTCTATTTCCAAGGCCTGGATAACTAATAACCAAATAAAATCTCCTTTGGATGACTCTACTAGACATAGGCTCAGGTTTTCACATGGAAAAGTATATGGTAATATGGAAATACATTTTATTATCAAGCTTCTTTGAGGATATTTACAAAAAGTGGAATGTTACAAAAATTATAAAAAGGTACTGAATGTCATAGTCTAGTTTGTAGATTATCGAATGATTCTAGTAAACAAATTATTTCTTATACAATACAACTGACTTCAAGACAAAAGGTTCTGTAGGCTATATCACACCTGGAGTAATTACTCAACTCCAGATTAGCTGACTTTACAAATTTTTTAGAAAGCTTAGGTATTCAATTAACAAAAACTAAGAGTGCAATTAATTTCATGGCTTGTAAAGTTTGATTATTTTAAAGTATAGCAAACAAGTATCATTCCAGTTAATGTTCACCTAATGCAGTAAAACCACAGAAAGGTACCATATGGCCCAGAATCATCACTCCATTGTGTGCACACAATGACCCTCAGCGACACTAGGGCGTCATGCCTTATCACATGGAAAATACACTTCTAAAACCTTTTTTTTAAAGTTCGTTTGGTTTAATGTTTCGAAGTCTGAAATGAGAAGAAATCAGTGAGAGAGGCTGTGCTGAGGGGCAGAGACAGTCATGTGTAGGCAGCACACGACAGACTGCAGCCACACTGCTGGGCCTCCAATCCTGCTGTTAACTGAGTGACTTCCGGCTAGTCCTTAATTTCCTTATCTGTTAGATGGGTTGTTCATAATGTACTTACCTCTGGGTGCCAGTGATGATCAATGTTGAAAACCCGTGAAAGACTTAGACCAGAGCTCTATGTAAGTGTCTGCTGTTATTTTCTCAAAGTATTTTTAGCTACTGACAATAGAGTAGCTTTAGTGATCCAGAGAGGACTCTGGAGTCCTGGTGTGGGGCTTTAGGACAAACACTAGACTGTTAACCACAAGGCTGATAGTTCAAACCCACTAGCCGCTCCTTGGAAACTGTAGAGTCACCGTGAATTGGAACAGACTTGACAGCACTTTACAAGTGGGCTCTCTAGTCTGTTCATATACAGAAAAATTCTTTTCCTTTGCTACTTTAAATTCAGTGGACAGTGATAGTGAATAGTTGCAGAGTTTTCAGTTTATTGAATACATTCACACACATCTGATCTTCACCATAACCCAGTAAAAAGATATTCTGTTGTGAAGTGCCGTCAAGAATTATTATAGCCATTCTACTGATTTAGGAACTCGAGGCTTAGATAGATTGTTTAAATAATGGAGCTAAGATGTAAACCCAGAGTTTTTTTACTCCAAATCCAGATCTTTTGTTCTTTATATTATACTGCTTGTAGTTGAAAAAGGTTTACCATGATTACTCAGGAATGATGAGACAAAAAACCCACTATTTCTTAAATTCTCATATTTAAAATTTCTTGGATGGAAAACTATTAGTAACCACTTTAGAGTTATAAAAAAGTGCAGCTTCATAAACTGAACAATATTTCTGAGTAAGAAAAAAATTATTTACCTGGCTGCTAAATTTGAAATATAAAAAATGCTGCCGGTAATATAGCCCATCCTTACAAACTTTTTTGTTCCAGCCCCCATACCCTTTGCTTCCAGGTATCTGTAAAGTCTCCAATAGGTGAAGTGAAGAATACAATGATATACTTGTTCTTCTTTATTTTTTATATATAATTTTTATCCTTCCATCAAATGAATCAGCTTTGTCTATAGATAAATTGTGTAATTAAATCTCAGATCTACACTGATCGACTGTAGGAATCCAACTGCGGTATCAGAGGTGTGAGCGGGAACATGAGCAGCAGCAAAGTTGAGCTCTGAGAAGACATTTAAGCTCAACAATTAGTTAGGCAGTGGTTCCCAAATCTAATTTTGTCATACCAATTGTTCCAAATTATCTGAAAGAGTGCTACAACATTCTCAAAAGGTGACAACTTAATTTTTATTTGTAGAGCATACTCAGAATTGCAACTCCAAAAGAGTTAAGAATCACCGTTTTGGAATTTTGATTTATCTGACTAAAAACAAAAACAAAAAAAGATAAAATAGCTCAGCCCCTCCTTTTTCTGGCATTTCAGAGAAACTCAATGCCTTTGTGATCAGGTGAGTGTCTGAAGTCCTTGTAACACTGGTAGCCTCTTGGCAGTCTCTTAAAAACAAACCTTACTGTCACCAACCTTGCAACTCTTGGATGCTATGCACTAATTGGATGCTAGCTTGCCATTTCCCCCTTTTAAAAAAGAATGTAAAAACAGGAATGGGAAGATAAATTAAGTGCCACTATTGTACTAAGTGAAGGATTAGGAAAAAAATACTGCTTATGTTACAAAAGTTTATGAAAAGCTTTATCCTTAATTACATTATGGGTTTCTATGACTCAGGTTCCACACGTGTACCTAAACACTATGAACTACAGTATTGGTGTCACCAGTTTCTTATGTTTCCTGTGTCTGCGATCTTGCAGACCACCTACAAAGAACAATAGTTGTTTCGTCAATAAAATCCATTCCCATTGAAGTGAGCTCTTTGATGTTTATGGATCTTCTTCCATATCATCTGGATTGGGAGCCATAATGAAGTGCTTTGGGTATACAAGGTTGTGTGTGTATGCATGTATTTCCCAGCGGGCATCATCACTTTCATGTGTAATGTAACGTTCTCCAATGCGAGTTTCAAATTCTCGAAGGTCAAGCCAAGTCTGATAATCCTATGAAAAATGAAGTGACTATGAACCATAAAAGCAATATAAAATCCTATCAACCTTTTTCTTTGGTTAGCTATCTGGTCAAATAATCAACAACTATTACTTATTCCTAATCACTTGCTTTACAATGAGTTTTATTTGCAATATTTTAATTAGTAATGTTTTTTAAATTTCAGAGTCCAATGAAGAAAGTAACTAGTTTATGAAATTAAAAATGAATTGCTTTGGGCTTCTGAAGTGGCTGATGATAATCACGCAACCATTTTTTTTCTATTCTATGAGAGGTCTGGTGTGGTGCTATGGGTTAATGAGCTGGACTGCGAGGTCGGTTTGAACTGCACGGTTGACAGTTCAAGCTCACCATCTGCTGCTAGGAAACCCTATAGGGTCACTATGGGTCGGAACCGACTCAATGGCACTTAACATCAATGAGAGGTCTAACCCTTTCTCAAAATAGGGGAAAGTACTTGGAACCTATTATCAGGATAATCTAATAATCAGTCGGACTAACTATAATTGCGTTTATTTTGATGTTAATTCTACCCCTTGTTTTTAAATGCCATCAAATCAGTTCTGACTTATAGTGACCTTGTATTGAGTTTCCCAGGAGTGGCTGGTGAGTTTGAACCTATGACCTTATGGTTCAAACTAACCTTGTGGTCCAGAGACTCCACCATAGTACAAATAAATCCCTGAAGAGTATTTTCATTATCCTAAGAAATGTGTGGAGTCCTGGTTTGGCTTTGTAGGATAAACACTGGACTGCTAACTGCACGTTTGGCCATTCAAACCCACCAGTTGTCTCCCCAGAAGTCCTATACAGGGTTGCTGTGAGTTGGAACTGATTCGACAGCACTTAACAACAATAAGAACTGTGCAGAATCTGTTGAGTGGTTTCTATGGGTAAGACTGCTCAATGAGAAACTGCCAGACATATACCAATTTTTTTACCTGTAGCCAGGGATGACTAAGAGATTTGTCAACACTGTAACGTTTCCTCATCTTCACTTGAAGTAGGTTGTTAATCAAGTCAATTGCTAAGGGGAGGGGGGTGGAAAAGACAAAATTAGTTACATGAGTTTGGGTATACATAGCACTTGGGGTGCTTATGAATTTTACTTGGTAGTTGAACCCAAAGTAATCTAGTTTTTGCTTCCCAAGGGCCTGGCCTTTCAGTCAACATGTAGTAATCCATAAATGCTTAGTGAATTCACAGTGTACCTGTCAAGTTTTCATTGCATCAAGGAGCTAGTACAGAGTTTAGGTTAAAAGCAGGGACCCTGGAGTCAGGGTTGAGGTCTGGTTCTGCCACTCACTATTTGTGTGATCTTAGGTCATGCTCTGTTTTACTTTCCTCATCTGTAATATGAGGCTGTTTTGAGGACTAAATCTGTTTATTATATGAAAAGGTCTTAGAACAATGCTTAGCCATAAGTGCTAAATAAGTGTTAACTTATAATAAAAGGAATAAAACAGGCCCTCTGATTTTAGGCTGATTTAAATCCTCTTTCCCCCAATACCAGGTTGTACTCACTCTCAGTCGACATGGACTAGAAAAGTTGTCAGAATTATTGCCTTGTTTCTAAAAATGTAGTTAGAATGAGGTGATAATTATCCCCCAAAGTTTTCAGGAAGTAGGTTTTAACAAATGGGTTCAGGGTGCCTGTGGTAAGGCCTTGATACATGGTATGCAGTTATTTGGATAAATGGATCAACTGCAAAACCAAGATTACCGTATTAACGACATATTGACTATAGCCTTATATTATTTAATGATAGCTGAAATATTGACACCTCTCTAGACCCAATGATGTGTACCATACAGGCCTATTTCTCTTCTATTTTAGGTTCTTGAGTTTCCATAAGCATTTTAATGATTAATTCCTCTGTGCTACAAATACTCTCCGTCCTTATCTACTGATCCTTAAACTGTGTTCACATGTGCACTTGGAGTGTTTACGTAAACTGCATATTCTGTGGGATATGGCCTGGGTTTTACTTCTTTTAATACCTGCCAGGAATTCTGGTATAAAAGTTTTGTAGACCACACTGCCCCAGGAACTCAAGAGTTGGCCTCGGTAATAATAAAGAACCTTACATATGGACTTCCTAAAGTCAGGTCTCTTTATTACGTATTGTTCCCCAAATGTTAATCAGTTTAACGGATTGTTAATCAATTTTGGCAACACAAAAAAGACCAACCCTGTTCCAAGGGCTGACTAAATCCAAGTGGGGATATCCTCAGTGGTGGTTCTATTAAATTATGTAAAACTTTATTTAATAGTCCCACAGATTCTTCTTACCAGTATCTCTAAAGAAAGCCAATGAAATTGCTCTAGATGGATACAGAACCAGAGGTTGCAAATACAAGTCTTTACCCCACCCCTTCATCACACAGCAAAAACAATGGGCCTTCTGATTAGAGGGCTACAGGAGAGATGGAAACTAACTGAAGAATGCATGGGATTCCATTCAAGAAGCTTACAATCTAGTTGTGAAGATAGGAAAAATAATGGAAAAACAAAAGCAATCAAATGCTTAATAAAAATGCCTAACTACTGGCGCTATAGGATAAGCACTGGACTGCTAACACAAGGTCAGCAGTTCAAACCCACCTGTCATTTTCAGAAATCCTAAACAGGGTTGCTATGAGTCAGAACCTACTCGTGGGCACACAACACAACTGACATAGATCGATTTTCTATAATTTAGAGGAAGGAGTTAAAGTGCTTGCCTGCTAACTAAAAGGTTGATGGCTCAAGCCTAGCAGCCCTTCTGGGGAAGAAAGAGAGCAGTCTGCCTCTGTAAAGACTTCCAGCCGTGGAAGCTCAAAGGGGTAAGGTAGTTCTACTTTGTCTAGTAGGTCACTCGAATCAGGATTCACTTGACAGCAGTGGGTTTGGTTTCGGGTTAGAAAAAGCACAGTCAAGGCTGAAAAGATAAACCACAAATTAAGGAGTCCTTGAAGGTTTTCAACAGAGGAGGAAGGATTGTAGGCAGGAGAAAGGCCTAAGCAAAATGCATCAAAAAATTGAGAAGAGAGTACAAGACTAGTTTTGTGTAAAAGAGTGTGTGTGTGTGTGGGTACAGCTAGATGATAAGGCTTGTGCAGATCACAGAGACTGATAGCTGCAATGTGGCTAAAGAGAAGCCAAAATGTTTGGGAGGCGAGTAAGACAACAGCAATTTTCCTAAAGATGGATTTCGCAATGGGGGCTGGGAAGAACCAGAAAAGAGATGAACAGAACAGTCAAAAATAAAACAGATTTTTCAGTAGTTTCCAGATGAGGTGTTTCTGAGCTGGGTTAGTGCTAGGCTTGTTAGGAACTGCAAAAAAGATGGGAGACACTGTAAGAGGAAGAGGGCTCAAAAGTTAGAGACTAGTTACATTTGGAAGAGGAATGGGAGACACTAGAAAAAGTCTGATGACACCCAATTAGGGAGCACAAAGAGGATTTTCAGACTAAAAGGCACAGCTAAAACTTTTTTTTTTTACCTTCACCAGAAATTTCTTTCCATGGATTTGGTGGGTACATAAAGGCAGCATTTTGGATTTGGTCATTTATATCTTCATCTTCATTAAAAGGAAATGTGCCACTGAGGCTCACGTAGACAATAACTCCCACTGACCACATATCCAGAGATCGGTTGTAGCCTTTGCTTCTGAGAACTTCAGGTGCCAAGTATGCTGGAGTTCCCACCACGGATCTCCTGAAGGACTTCTCTCCAATGATGCGGGCAAAACCAAAGTCACACAGCTTTACCTGGAAATCAGAGGATAATATTAAACTTACTTAGGATAATCTATCAAATTAAATTTTAATTTTAAAATAATTCCATCACATTTACCAACTATTTTGATTTTTGAATGCCAAACAACTGTAGCTAGTCCCAAGGCAGCACTTTTATAACCTTGTGACTCATTACTAATACAGTATGAAGAGTTTTCCTGTTGCTTATTTTGGAAAAACAAAAACAAAAAACAAACCCCATTGAATTCTAGCTTCCAGAATGCTAAAAATCAGACTGGCATACAAGTGTTCCCTGTTTTTATGGTGAAATGGAGGTCTTTTCTCCTTTGGCTTATACAGAGATCATCTGTGAGCAGGAATTGGGTATTTCATGTTTGAATTCTCAGTGGCCTCATATGGCCTAGACCTGTAAAAGATGTCAAAAAATGTTTGCTAGGTGAAACCTAAGTTACAGTATTTTAAAAACGCACCCTTTATTTAGTGTAAGTATTAAAAATGTTTTCCCAATGACACTATAAATTGTCAAGAGAATAAAGGTGAGGAAGTATATGAGTATTAAAGTATGAAAAACTATCCTAATCTGGGCAGTAGAAGAGTAATGTTGGAGAGCACTTTAAGAAGTAGGAGCAGCAGTTTTTTATGACAAGTTATTGTTAGGGATGGATTTAGATTTGAAAACAGTTCTACATGAAATCTTCCTTTCAGGGAAGGAAGGAGTTGGGACAATGTGAGGAGCGTGGCTGAGTTTGGAACATTTATCTTGCTGCATCATCTAGTACTTCCAGATTTGGGCTATTAATGATTGCATCCACGCTGAACCAGCAAGTGCCGAGTACTTTCAAGAGGAAATGTCCTGATTCATAAAATGTCTGCAGAAAAAGCATGAAGATAAATTGAGAGGAAAGGATTTGGCCCATTCAAAACAGTGGTGCAAGTTAGTAAGTAACTGGAGCAAAAAGAGGTGAAGGTATATTTAAACACGGCTTGGTATTTCTAGATGTGGACCCTGACACAGGTTTTTATGAGTGTTCTGTGCCATTACTGGATTTGTCTAGTTCTCTACTTGAATCTTTGAAAAGTAGAAGTGATCAAAAATGATATTTAACAAAAGCAAAAAAAAAAAGCAAAGGAAATTTTTTTGTTGTTGTTAAATGTCAGGTGACTGTTAGCTAACATATCTTGACAAATTCAAGATGACTTGGCAGTTTGGCAACTAAATAAAGAAATGTGTCCATGGCTAGTACTCAGTCAAAAAAAAAAAAGTATCAAATAAATAACATTATTTTCTCTTTGTTCCTAAAGGGAGGACAATAGATCACTGAAGTGGGAGTCAAAAAGCTGGAGTTTTAGTCTTAGCTGTAGGGTGTGTGTCCCTTGCCTTTAAAGAGCAAGTGAAATAATACACAAAAACACTTATTTAAAACATTACACCAACTCTTAACAGGACCCTTTTAACACCATAATGATGAGAATCATCTTAACTACATAGACACTATAAAAAAAATCATCTTCCACATAGGAAGAATATGATTACTTACTTTAAAAGAGTTTAATAATTTTTACATATACACTTTTTTCTTTGGAAGTACATATAACTTTTCAGAAATAAATACAAACCATAACCATTTGAGTTGTATTTACAAGAAAGAACAATTTGTTGTCCTTATTCTAGCCATTTATCTAATTACCATATTTAAACTACACAAAAACAGTCGTTTGGAAGCAGATCTGTTAACTGGAGGATTCATCAATGACAATCAAACCCACTAGCTACTCCTGGGAAACCCCAGACAGGGTTGCTATGAGTTGGAACTGAACAGATGGCACTTACCACACCACAACATAAGATGAGGATTAACACCAGGGAAGTATGCACTCCTTAGAACAACCAACCATACAAGATCAAAAGGGTAACATATGCCCAGGAATAAAGCTCAGACTGCAGGAAGTGACAGGACAGTCAGGGTATGCATTATAGTAAGTCCTGGTGTAGCACTATAGGATTAGCACTGTACCGCAAGGCCAGTTTGAACTGAAAGGTCGGTGCTTCAAACTCACCAGTTGCTCCTCGAAAACCCTACAGAGAGGCTCACTAAGAGTCGGAGCTGACTTGATGGCACTAGACAATAACAATAGCAAAGTGTTGATAGGACCACAGAAACTTTAACAGGCTAAAAACTTTATTAAATGGTGTGCATTTGAAGCCTACAGTACTTAGTACAATGCTTTTCATTATGTGGCATTTTGTATATGCTGATATAGGCAGCATCTCACCTGAGGAAATGGCTCTGCTGATGCAAGCAGCACATTTTCTGGCTTTAGATCACAGTGCACAATATTCTTAAAATGGAGATTCCGCAAAGCAACAAGTATCTGTTATTGAAGAAAGCAGATATTTTTTTCAATGCCTGGACAAACTATAATTAAACCCCAACCTAACTCTTTGACCAGTGTAGTAATTAGAAGAGTTCATTACAGTTCATCAGTATTTAACTGAAAGTGTTATTTTGTTCTTCAAGATTAATAATTCCCACCATACCCCAATATGTGCGCTGGTGGCATAGTGAGTAAACAGTTGGATTATTAACAACAGGGTCAGTAGTTAAATACACCAGCCGATCTGTGGGAGAAAGATGAGGCTTTCTGCTCCCTTTTTACAGTCTCACAAACCCTATACAGGGTCACTATGAGTCAGAACCAACCCAATGGCAAAAAAAATTTCCTTAGTTTTCACTCTGCAGCTTCAAAAGAAAACATACCTGTGTGACCATGAATTTAGTAATTCGTTCTGGAAGCCGACTTTTTTCGCTGGACAGAATCATTTCTAACATATCTCCGTGCAGCTTTTCCATGACTACAAAGACTCGTTCTGGGGTTTCAAACATACATTCCAGGTTTACAATCCCAGGATGGTGCAAATTCTAAACAAAGATACAGGATATTTATCTGCCCAACTCAAGGAGAGAAGGAACTTTACTATGCAAATATCTAACACTGTGCTACAATTGGCTGTATGGCCTACATGATACATAGAGAAAGGAGTTTAGGAAAAGTAAACAATAAAAACAATGAAATTACAATAAAAGCTACAATCAATAAAAAAAGATCATAGATTCTACTGTTTTAAAATCATGTGTGGACACACTGAGGGGAAAAAAAGTCTTCCCAATTAGATTGCACAATTGTTCCCTTTCAATTTACTGTTTCTTTTCCCATTTCTTATCTTTGAAAACTTCTGACACTGCTCCAATTTTATGCAAACAGGCTGGCTTAAACATTGATTGCCAAACTAATTTTAAACCAATTACATTGCACTTTGGCTGTTCAGGGCTGTATTATATTGGTAAAGGCCTTTGTTCAAGCCTCTTTCAGGCTTAAAGTCTTTCTATCTCCATCCTTCCATATTTCTTGAACACTAGTATATTATACAAAGATAAAAGCAATGTGTTTCTGCTTATTAAAAAACAATCTATCTTACATTCTACTGGTAGAAAAGTCTTTTAACACGTTAGTCTTGCTTAAAAATCTTCAATGGGTCTTTATTTCTGAAGATAAAACTCCTTTAACTGGATTTCAAACCCTTAATTTTTTCCTATTCAATCTTCTTGTTAAGTGCTGTTGAATCAGTTCTGACTCACAGTGACCCTATATACAGTTTCCAAGGAATGGTTAGTGTGTTTGAACTGCCTACCTTGTAGTTAGTACACCAGTGCTTATCCTACACGAGGAATCAATTTTAAATATGCTCTATTGGCTTAAGTGATTAGAACAGTTTTATTCCGTAGTAACATTTTTTTTAATGCATTTATCATCAATGTGGGTGCCTAGTAATGTTGGGAGTCCTGATGTGGTGTGTAGGATCAGGACTGAACTGCTAACCACAAAGCTGGCAGTTCAAACCCACCAGCTGCTCCTTGGAAACCCTGTAAGGGTCGCTATGAGTCAGAACCAATCAATGGCACTTATCAACAATAACTTACGCTGTGAGCAATTTTTTTCACCCAACATTTTGTTGAGTTCCATGCTCTAAAACGTATTTTTAAATCCAAATTAATCTCTCAATTCCCACTTCAACTAACTTAAGTTTAGCCCCCATTATCTCCTTAGCTCCCATCATACTTTTGCCTAATAAAAAGTTCCATGAGAGACACTGAATCTTAGTCATCTTAGCCCAATTTTGTGTTACGGTAGGTGTTTTCAATAAAGGTTAGAAAATGAATTAAATAGCATGTATGAAAATGCTTACTAAGCAATTTAAGACAATTTAATGACAAGGTGTTCTAGTGGCATAATAAAAAGTGACAGTATTTTACAGGAGATGAATGTAAGTAAAATCAGCAAGGCTAGGCACCACAGTGGTGGGTGGTGATACCCTCAGCACCTTAAGAGTTAGAAGTAAAGTGTAGCTGTCTCCTCTGCTATACTTGTATGTTGTGTTTCTTTCTTTACCCATCTTCCTTAAAAAGTACATGTGTACACTTAGGAGCTCTTAACCACTCCACTTTTGCTTTGATTAGAGTACTTCTACCTCTTGCTAAGCATTGCTTTGATTGTGCGTTTTCTTCAGGGTTATACTGGTAAAGCCATGTTTCATCTCCTGTTACAATTCTTGCAAGAAATGCTTTAGGGTCTTGATCCCAGTAATTTAAAATTTCCATTGAAAGCTCTGTTCATCTGCAGCTGATCTGGGGCTACAGTATTGGCACACTGCGAGTTTGCTCAACTTTAATTTTTCAGTCAGAATTGCATAAGGTAAACCAAGTGAAATCTATGGTTTTCACTGTTGTTTTTGCTGTTAACTGTCAGTCCTCATAAATTAGGACACAAACAAGCTTGCTTCCTTGCAAACTGATACAAATGGTCTGCCACTGTAGGCTTCTTCATCAATATTGTTAGTCCTGTCTTAAAATGAGTTATTCAATTGTATATGGATTTCTTTGGGGACAATGTCCCATAAACATTTCGTAAAACATCAATGATTTCACCATTCTACCCAGTCTTCCCAACCTTCACCATAAATTTGATGTTTGTTCTTGTTTAAATTTTAGCAGAATTTATGTTGCTGTGATCATTACATTAAAAAACAAACAATATATTATGGATAGCATTCTATGTAAGTAGATTTATTCAGTAAGTACTAACAAAGCATTTGCTATGTGTCTAGTACCATGCTGGTAGCATGGATTATCAATGAACAAAATTGGCAAAAGATCCCTAGTCTCATGGAACATACCTATTAACTCTAGTAGATGACATAAATACATATGAAATAAGTAAGCAAATTACCTAGCATGTGAGAAGGCAAGACACGCTAATGAGAAAAGAAAAGGTAGAGTTGGGTAAAAGCAGTGCAAGGTTGAGGTAGGAGGTTTTAGTATTAAATAAGATGGGGAAGGTCTCATTGAAGAAATGCCATTTGACAAAATCTTGAAGATAAGGAAATATGTCCTGCAGATATGAGTTAGGGGACTGGGAAAGTGGGGGATCGGGAAGCAGGAAGAAGCATTCCAGGCAGAGGGAACAGCTAAAGCTAAGGCCTCAGGACAGCAGGGTATCTGACATCTTTGAGGAGTAGAAAGTGTGTCAGTGTGGCAATCATTTGGGAAAGAGATTCAATTTGTTAAGTATGGTGTCTAGTTTTTGGTTCAGTTTAGCAAAGTAGTCATTGTTGTTAGGTGCCATCAAACGACCTTATGTACCTTATGCACAGCAGAACGAAACATTGCCCAATCCTGAGCCAGCCTCACTACTGTTGCCATGCTTGAGTCCATTCCTTTTTCTCTGACCCTCCACCTTACCAAACATGATATCCTTCTCCAGTGACTGGTTCCTCCTGACAATATATCTGAAGTATGAGAGACAAAGTTTGGCCATCTTGGCCTCCAAGGAGCACTCTTCCAAAATGGATCTATTGGTTATTTTGGTAGCCCATGGCACTTTCAATATTCTCCTCCAACACCATAACTCAAAAGCATCAATTCTTCTACGGTCTTCCTTATTCACTGTCCAGCTTTCGCATGCATATGAGGCTACTGAAAATACCATGGTTTGGGTCAGGTGCACCTTAAGTCTTCAAGCTGACATCTTTGCTCTTCAACACTTTACAAATGTCTTGTGCAGCAGATTTGCCTAATGCAATACGTCCTTTGATTTCTTGACTGCTGCTTCCGTGAGTGTTGATAGTTGATCCAAGAAGAATGAAGACCCTGACAACTTCAATCTTTTCTCCATTGATAAGAATGTTGTTTATTGGTCCAGTGGTGAGGATTTTTGTTTTCTTTACATTGAGATGTAATCTATACTGAAGGCTGTGCTCTTTGATCTTCATCAAATATTTTAGGTCCTCTTCACTCTTCACTTTCAGCAAGCAAGGTTGTATCATCTGCATATCGCAGGTTGTTAATGAGTCTTCCTCCAATCCTGATGCCATGCTCTTCTTCATATAACACAGCTTCTCGAAGTATTTGCTCAGTATATAGGTTGAATAAGTACGGTGAAAGAAAACAATCTTGTCACACACCTTTCTTAATTTTCAAACATTCAGTGTTCGAACAACTGCCTCTTGGCCCAGGTACAGATTCCTCATGAGCACAATTAAGTACAGTCATAGGCATCCCAAAATGGAATGTGCTAATTTCTATAGAGCCTATCACCAAGTACTCAAGAGAGCAGCTTCATGCTCCTGGTGCCAAGCTTAGATCTTTTCTAAATCAATGAATCTATGATTTTCCTTCCTGCCACGTGACAAGCCAAAGCTGCAGTCTCAATCATCTGCTCATTCTGATGTACAGAAGAAAAAGTAAGGATGCCACCAGAGATCAGGATCACCAGTGTTTCAGCCCATCTTTTAGACTTGCTCCACGAGGACTATATGAAGAACCAGGGCAACGATGAAAGAATAAAGATGATATAGCTGGGGGCAGGGAGTAGGGTTTGAAGCATACAGGTATGTGAATATGTGTAGTAGAGTAGAAAGAATAAGTGGGTTTGGAGACAGATTTAGATTCAAACTCTGGCTCTGCCAGATTGACAAAGTCTTGCTGCTGAGCTATACTGAGAATGTATTTGCCTCCTCTGAGCCTCTTTACCTTCACTACAGCAAAAGATAAAGTACTTAAGTATGGTAAGGGATTCACCAAATATAAAAATATAAATATTTTTTGTAAACAGTTTAAAAACAATCTATAACAATAGCGTTGTATGAAATTTAGGATTAAATAGTATATGTGGAGACATGCTACTATCATTTAATTCTATTCCCAGTAAAGCAGTGTTAATAAAACTGTGTTTATAATACTAGGAAGTATAGAATAGTGTTAATAATACTAGGGAGTATAGAATAATATGATGCAATATAATATAATATAGTATGAGATTCCTGGGGTGGTGCTGTGGGTTAATGCGCTGGACTGCAAAGTCGGTTTGAACAGCAAAGTCGGCGGGGTGGTTCGAGCTCACGAGCTACTCCTTGGAAACCCTATACAGGGTCACTAAGAGTTGGAACAGATGCAATTGCACTTAACAACAAGAGGGTTTCAAAAAGTTCATGATAAAACGAAAAGTTAATGGAATTTTTCTGATTTTTTTGAAGCTCCCTCATATATTATTATAATCACAATAAAGCTTTTCACATTGTACAGTATCTGAAGATTCCTAAATTTAGTTATTATGATGCATAGCTGATGATATTGGAAGGACCAATGCTTCAGTAATTAGTTCAGAGCTACATTTGTGAACAAAATGTCAAGGAGAAATCAGCCTTAGAAATATATCTTAATTGTAATTTTTGGTTGGATAATGAGAGAGATTCCAAAACGAGGTCTAAAAAAGATATCTAGGAATACTTTTATACTCTAATACAGAGTGGTAAGTCTAGTTAGTAAATGTTCTATCTAAAGGTAGCTAGCTTTGTAGAGGAGACAGCTTTGAGGTGACCATAGGCACCTTTTGGACACAATCTTTTGACACACGCACCTTTCAGACACAATCTTTTGATTATCATTCCTCTGAAAAAGAAGTGAGGCAGCAAATGCAACCACTAGAGACCAATAATGTAATAAATGTACAATTCTTTATTTGTTTCTAAGTTTCTTACCTTCTCCTCTAAGAAAGCATAAGCTCAGTAAGCTGTGTCTTCTTAAATTTCATTCAAAGTAAATAGGATTCTGAAAGCATTAACTGCAACATCACTGTGATTTCTTAAATGTTATGCAGTAGGTACACAATGAATTAATAAGACTTCTGTATACTGTAATTAAATTTACAGGATATATAGAAAAATGATCCAAGGATCAAGATAAATTTTACTCTTCTCAATAATTCCCCAAAGAGGTGATTATGTTGTTGTTGGTGGTTATGTGCCATGGAGTCGGTTCTGACTCAGTTTCTGAGGCTGTAAATTTTTATGGGAGCAGAAAGCCTCATCTTTCTCCCACAAAACAGCTGGTAGTTTCGAGCTGCTGACTTCAAGGTTCGCAGCCCAATTCGTAACCACTACGCTACCAGAGCTTCTTATGTAAGATAAATAATGTAATAAATGTAAAATTCTTTTATTGTTTCTAAGTTTCTTACCTTCTCCTCTAAGAAAGAGTTAACCACTAGATAAATATAAAAACAAAACAAATTTATAATTTCATAGTATTTAGGGCATGCTAATATATTTTAAAAATATAATCTTAATAGACTGATCCATTACCAAATTGAATATTAAAATTTTTGAGTTAATCTAGCATACCAGCTGTAAGAACTAGGACAGGTACAATAGCCTTATCAAGTGTGGAGGCAGAACTATAAGCACAGTTGAAGCTATTGTAGTGATGAATTTTGAACAAATTTTGAATTTAGAATGAAATTTTTCTCTTTTACATTTTAAGGCGTTTAACTATGTACATGTAAGGCTGTCCTCATAACCCTAAGATTACTAGAATTCTGGCTTTTTAGAGTTAAGCAATAGTCAATTCAGATGCTTATAGCCTTTTACTGAGTCAAACAGTTGTTACATGAAAACATACCAAAATATAATTTTCTTATGAGCACATTAAACAAAGATTCAAAAACTTACAATTCAAAAATTAAATCTAATGCAAAGCAACTTTTGTTTTACCTGTAAAATAGCCACTTCATTACGGAGTTGACTTTCCTGTTTTGTGGGGAATCTCATTTTATCAATTACTTTAATAGCCACGTCCCTTCCAGTTTTTCTGTGTTTTCCTATTGAAAGACAAAGGAAATAAAAGAAAAGGAAGTAGCAGCAGCAGCAGCAGCAGCAGAAGCAAGCTGACAGTTCAAATAAATACTGAAATCTTGACCAGGAAATTGTCCACAGACTGAAGTTTACATGAGGGTAATATAAAAAGTATTGCTACTGCTGAGAGCCTGCCCCCGGCATATTTATTCCAGGGTTTTTCCGAAGGCGGGTGCGGCGTTGGCGATTAAGGGATTACACAGAGTCATGGGTCATGATAAATTCAAAATCTTCTTATTACATGCTTTATTATTATTATTTCTATGGCTACTCTAATACTCTACTTCTCTCATTCTTTACTCCCCTGCTCATCTCTTCTGCTTCCTTTCTCCCCTCCCCTGCTCCTGTTTTCCTTCTCTCCTCTCCCCTCCTGCTCATCTCTTCTGTTTCTTTTCTCCTTTCCCCTCCTTCCATTTCTTTACAGTCTCCTTCTCTACATTACTTTTTTTTTTCTAACTACTACTCCTAATTATCTACATTAGTACTTTCACTACTCCACTCCCCTGCTTCTTCTCTACATTACTCCCTCTATCTTCCCTCCATTCTTGTCTCGTCTCCTATCCACCTCATATTCCTTCTTCTCTCCCTACTTCTTTCTGCTTCTACTTAATTCTCTCACTCTTGCCTCTACATCTCTTACCTCTCTCCTTTTTTCCACTTCTTTCTTCTACCTCCTTTCTTCTACTTACTCTTACCTCTACTTCTTGCCTCTATTCTTACTTACCTCTACACTTCTACTTACTTCTACTTCTTTCTTCTACTACCTTTCTTCCCTCTTTCTTTGTTCTATCTTACAACCCCCTTATATACCATTACAGAAAACATTGCATTCATAGTAATCAATGACATCAAGGTACAATCTATCTTGGGGCACATTCCTCATGATTTACAATTCTTAAATTTACAACAGGGATGAGAAGTTACAGCAAAGACATTATCTCAAAGCATAGGAGACATTCAGGTGCCTTGAAACCTTTTAGTTAAACATTTGTTCCTACATAAATCTATTCTTTTCTCTGAGACGCAAGTTAACCTTCACATGTTTCTTAACCTTTGTCTGTTAAGTCTTGTTAATTTTAGTTGTTAGGTGCAATTAACTCTCCATTAACTTCTTCCATACACTATCTGTTTATAGCCTACAAAAACATCACTTATCAGGGAAACTGAGGCTATGAAAAACAACTTCTCTAATTTACTGATCATTAATTTAAGAAAGTCTAAGTCAGACTTTTTATTTAGTATCTGTATATACCCATAGCCTTTATCTACAGTCTAATTGTTTTTAGAAATTCTTGTACCCACAGCCCTTATTTATGGCTGTAGGATTCTTTATTGCCTTAAACTAAGGCTACAAGGAAGAATGTTTACAATCACTAAACCTAAGCTGGCAGTAATTCAATTGACAAATCCTGTCTCCTAGCAGGAACATTGTTAATATAAGTATTAAAACTACCTATGATTACAAGTTGAATAAAATGTAGCTAATGTGTGGCTTCTAACTTTTAATGAAAATTTACTAAAGTGTAGGAGAGTCAAAAATCTAAAGTAAAAGGGATACTAATAAAATCATGAATAAATCAAAATGATTCAACAAGAGAAAAATTTAACTAGGGGTCTGTGCATAAAAAATAATTAAACAACTTTTTGTGGCTCTGCCATCCAAAGAGAAAAAGAAAGAAAAAGAAAAAGAAAACAAAAGAGTTCATTGTTGCTTTGCAAAAACAATGAATTCTTCATGCGCAGGTTCCCCCGTGTCTCATTTCTTTATTTCAATTCCTCGATTAATATGTCTCAATTTCTTCATTTTAATTCCTTAATTAATTATGGCTGTTGCCATACATAGAAATCTTTACTGAATAAAAATAGCAAAATGTAAAGCCGTTGTTTGTTGACATATCCTTCATTAGGCCTATACACTTCTGAATTTGTTGTTTCCATCTCTCTAACCCTTTTAAAACTACACAATTTGTTTATAGTACATAAAATGTGCAAAATGCTATAGTCACTTACCTCCATAAACAATGCCAAACTGGCCTGAACCAAGAACCTCATCAGCAAAGATTTGGTAAACAGAACTGATGTCCTATTCAAGAAAAAGTAAGCAATTAATATAATGTATTCTTCACTTCTATAAAAGAACATTAATAACTCCTAACTCTTCATTCATATTTGAGCTATGGCACTGGAGAATATTGAAAGTGCCATGGTCTGCCATGGAAGAATGCTCCTTGGAGACCAAGATGGCCAAACTTTGTCTCTGATACTTCGTACATATTGTCAGGGGGGACCAGTCACTGGAGAAGGATCTCATGTTTTGGTAAGGTGGAGGGTCAGAGAAAAAGAGGAAGACCCCCAACGAGATGGACTGGCCAAATGGCAGCATCGATGGACTCAAGCGTGGCAACAGTAGTGAGGTTGGCCCAGGATCGGGCAGTTTTCGTTCTGCTGTGCATAAGGTCGCTACGGGTTGCTATTGACTCGATGGCACCTAACAGCAACAACTCTTCATTCAAACACTCAGGTACAATTTTATTTTTAAATAAGAGGTAATTAATTTTTATAAAGTATACATTTTTTTTTTACAGAATAGAAGTTATTTATATTACGTTCCAGGAAAGGTTAAGCCCAGTTTTTATACTATGACTAGTAATGTCCAAATATAATGCATTTTTCAAGATAATCTTAGTAAAAAAATGAACAAAACAAAAAGCTGATTTATCAAATAGTGATCTAAAAAAGTAAGTAACATGGAACAATTAAGGAAAGTCTTCCTTATTTGATCCTTATAAAAATATCTGATAGCTTTGATTTGAAAGAAAAACTCAAGTTCCTTCTGATTTTGAATGTCTGAGGAGAAGTGCTAGAAAGTCTGTAACTCAGATCCACTCATGAATCTCCTTTCCTCTTTTTGCTCCCTTGCTTCTTTCTCTCCCTTCATTCCTACCTCTTTGCCCTCCATCACTAAGTCAATTCTGTTTTTGGTGGTGGTGGTGGTGGCTACTGTTAGAAAATTCATGGAGGGCACTCTGTCTCTCTCCACTGCTTTTCAGTTAAGGTCTCCCTTGTGTTTGGGCATGCATACAGGCCTTTCAGTGTACACAAAAATATCTTGTGACTTGTTGCTGTTGTTAGGTGCTGTTGAGTTGATTTTGACTCACAGTGACCCAGTCCACAATAGGATGAAACAGTGCCGCATGTTATACTGTCTTCCTAATTGTCATGTTTGAGCTCATTGTTGTTACCACTGTGTCAATCTATCTTGTAGGGGGTTTTCCTCTTTTTTTGCTGACTGTCTAGTTTCTCAGACATGATGCTCTTTTCCAGTGACTGACTGATCCCTTCTGATAATATGTCCAAAGTATGTGAGACAGTCTCACCATCATCATTTCCAAGGAGCATTCTGGCTGTGCGTCTTACAGGACAAATTTGTCTGTTCTCTTGGTAGCCTATGGTATTTTAAAGTATTCTTTGCTAACAACATAATTAAAATACATTGACTCTTTTCTGGTCTTCATTATTCATTGTCCAGCTTTCATATGCATATGAAGTGATTGAAAATACCATGGCTTGGATCAGGGGTACCTTAGTCCACAAAGTAACAACTTTGGTCCTGAACATTTTAAAGAGGTCTTCTGCAGCTAATACACTATGTCCTTTGATTCATTGACTGCTGTTTCCATGGGTATTGATTGTGGATCAAAGTAAAATGAAAGGGTTGTCAATTTCAGTATTTTCTCCATTTATTTTGATGCTATTTATTGGTTTAATTGTGAGGATTTTTGTTTTCTATACATTGAGGTGCAGTTCATACTGAAGGCTTAGTTTTTGATATTCATCAGTAAGTACTGTGAAGTACTCTTTGTTTCCTACTAGCAAGATTGTGTCATCTGCACACCACAGGCTAAAAAATCTTCCTCCAATTCTGATGCCACTTTCTTCGTCATATAATCCAGTTTCTTAGATTACCTGCTCAGTCTATTAACTGAGTAAGTATGGTGTAAACAAATAATCCAGGCACATGTTTCCTAATTTTAAACCATTCAGTGTACCCTTGTACAGTTCAAATGACTGCCTCCTGGTCTATGTATAAGTTCCTCAAGAGCACAGTGAAGTGTTACCATTCTTAATGTTATCCATAAATTGTTGAGATCCAGACAGTTGAATGCCTTTGCATAATCAATAAAATCCAAGTAAACATCTTTCTGGTATTCTCTGCTTTCAGTCAAGATCCATCTGATGTCAGTAATGGCATCCTTTATTCCGTATCCTCTTCTGAATCTGGCTTGAATTTCTGGCAGCTCCCTGCCGATGTACTGCTGCAGTTGTGTTTGAATTATTTTCAATAAAATTTTAATTGCATGTGATATTAATGCTACTGTTTGATGTTTTCCATGTTCCATTGGGTCACTTTTCTTTAGAATGGGCACAAGTATGGATCTCTTCCAATCAGTTGATCATGTAGCTATCTTCCAAATGTAGGCCAGTGAGTGCCTCCAGCACTGCAGTAATTTGTTGAAAGATTTCAATTTATAGTCCACCAATTCCTTGAGCCTTGTTTTTTGCCAATGCCTTTGGCATAGCTTGGACTTCATATTTCAATACTGTTGTTGAGTGCCGTCAAGTAAGTTCTGACCCATAGCGACCCAGTACAGGGTTTCTGAGGAGTGACTGGTGAGCTTGAACCTCCGACCTTGCAGTTCAAACGGCTTTGCAGTCTGGCGCATTAACCCACAGCGTCACACCAGGACTGCGTACGGCTGGTTCTTAATCATATGAAATGGCTGAACATCAATCTATTCTTTTTGATACAGTGATTCTGTGTATTCCTTCCACCTTTTTTTTTTTTTTTTTGGTATTTCCTGTATCATGCAATATTTTGCTCATGGTGTTGCTGGTGGTGGTGTGCTGTGGAGTCGGTTCTTCAATATTGTAAATTGAGACTTGAATGTTTTCTTCAGTTCTTTCAGCTTGAGAAATGCTGAGTGTATTTTTCCCTTTGGGCGTTTTGACTCCAGATCTTTGGTTTATAACTATTTATTTAGTGCTTCTTATGTGCTAGACATCAGAATAAGGCAGCATACTGGGGCTCAGTGTAGGCAGAGGTATGTGAGGTTAAAAGCATGGGTTTGAGACACACAAATTCCAGAGAATAACAGTGTGCTGTTGTAGTTAAATCAGTACAAATTAACCTTATAGAAAGAAGCTACCTCATAAGTTACTTGACTCTACACTCCACAGGATTTTCAAGGCTTTGACTTTTTAGATTACCCGGCCTGTCTTTTATGGTGTTTTATGTGGGTTTGAACCAACAGGCTTTTGATTAGTAACAATCACTTAACCATTTATACCATCCAGGTACTCAGTGAGGATGAAATGAGATAATGCTTAAAAAGAGCTTAGCAATGTCTAGCAATTATTAAGGATTCAGTGAACATTAGCTATTGCATTGTTATATTATTTCCTATTATCTTTATAACAATTCTTAGATTGGCATACTTAATTACCAATAGCCAAGGCTTTTAAATGATAGACCGTAACTAATATCCAGGGATTGGAACTTAGGCCTACTAGACTTACACTGACATTACATAACTACCTACTATACTCTGTATGGTAAATGGAGTTTGTGATTTAAGGATATTTTTCTAGGTCTAATACTTTGTTGTATTACAGAAGACCATTTACATTGGTTAACATCTTTGGAACCCAGGTTCTACAATAAAGTTTGGGGTCAGAAAGAGATCACTCTTCATGGTCTCCTCACACAGGAGAAAACCAAACTCTCTTGTCATTAAGTTGATTTCAACTCATAGTGAACCTGAAGTGGGATTCTGTGACTGTAAATCTTTATGGGAGCAGATAGCCTCATCTTTTTCCTTCAAAGTGGCTGGTGGGTTTGAATTGCAGACCCTGTAGTTGGTAACCCAATGCTTACTTTAAGCGCCACCATGGCTTTTAAAATGAATTCAATTAGTATGTATGCAAAGTGCCAACACTTGTCAGTAACTCTCCAAATCCTAATTATTTAATTCCTGTATAAATTAGGTAACCATAAATAAACTACTTAAATTCTTGGGAATTTAATCTGTTTTGTGAAAAGGTATTGACCTTAGTATCTCTTTTAAGCACCTTCTGGTTTGAAAATGCCTATGATTATCATCAATATTTATTTGACCTCAAACTGTATATAGGGCTCTATGATATGTAGCTAATTTATAAGTAACAGAACCAGTACTTCGGGGACTGAGACAATAGAAAGGGCAATAGAAAAATAAATCTATCATAAAGGATACACAATGTATGATACCATAAACTACAGAAGAGGCTATCTTAGACATCTTTTCCCCACCAACTCATCAAATAACTCGTGTTCCATTCCCTATGAAAAGGATATGCTCACTAATATCTATAGCAGCATACCTTATGCTTGTTGCCAGTAAGCACCACAATTTAGGGCTCATCCAAAGGATGCCTCTTACAGATGAATGTTTCCCAAACACAATTATATCATATGTACTGGTTATAATAACGACATGGTTTAATTAAATACTATAAATTATTTAGTATACATAAACATTATGTCAATTAAATATGAGATTTCTATGAAAACTAAGTTGTTTTGGAAATACTATAAAGATGCACTAAAAACAGTTGCTGTCTCTCTTCTCAGAATGTTACACAAGTATACTTGGCTCCACTTTAAAGACACAAAAATGAGAAATTATAAACAATGCAGAAGGGTGTGGTTGATGCAAGAAAGACAAAGTAGAACTCTCCATGTAGCAAATCCACACTTAAAAGACAAAACCCTGTGGCAAAAGCAAATAATGTGTGTATATGATGGGACTTCAGAAAGTTTGTTGGGAAATTCCATTATCTTTTCATTCTATTTTTCCTTTAACTACTTACAGCTCCCTTTGTATATGTTTTAAGTTATAATGACATTTTTAAGGTGTGTAAGAATCAGTTTTAAATGCTTTTCAACTTTGAGAATTGTTTTGTTTTGTTTTTTTGACCCTAATCAAATCAAACTAGATAAGGTAATATTTACTATATTTCATAAACACTAAGGAGTCCTGGTCT